CCTTTTTTTTTTTTTTTAACCCAATTTCACAGAATTTCTTAAAACCCATAGAAATAGATCTTTGTATGACAAAAATTACTGATACCAGGTTTTAAAAATTAAGGCCCCACGTTTTATTAATTGTTGTTACTAAGATTCAGATGAGTTCCCCATCAACTACCAGTTCATCCCACCACACACACACACAGGAACACAGCAGAAATTAAAGCCACCTCGTGCTGCGTTAAGTGCATGAGCCATAATATACACCAGGTGTAGTAATTAGCAGGCACATGAAGGCTGCCTATTTGTCTGGTTTTGCTGCTGTTGCTGTATCCCCTGTGTTTTCACACCATCAGATAGTTGGATTTAATTGAGGCCACATCAGATGAGGCATTACTGACACCTTTAATTGAATGAGCATCCAGGGAGGATTAACTCATAATATTGATTGGCTTTTAGCCACTTGCTCAGAAGGGTGTCTGGGTAGCTTATTAGTTGCCTTTATTTACACCTTTATGCAAAGAGTGCAAATAGGAATTCTTAGTGCAATATGTTTTTCTAAGTACTCTTAATAACTTTTTTAAAAGCACTGATAATAAAAATGCAAATGTATTTAATTTTTTATTAGCAGTTCTGAATAAATGTGTTAAATATATGTGCCTCTACATTTACATATACCTGGTGCTTTGAAATATGACAGTAGGAAAGCAGCCAGAAGCATTTCATCAAAGTGTTTCAATTCTGAATGATACTAATCAGCCATTAGAAAATAGACATGCTAGGAGAGAATTGCTGAAAATGCACAGTGCAATTACTGTATGATAGCAGACGACCACAAAGGATAAAAAAGCCAATAAATCAGAGTAGTGGTAAGTACGTCATGGATTATGACATATGGGCTGTAGGAATGGTCCAAACCCTTGGTATTCTTCAAGATTTATTTTGTTGTTGGTTATTAGAACAGTGTTTCATTTAACATTTTCAATTACTTCCTGCTCTTCAAAGGACAAATCAAAAAAACTCTTGAGCTTTAGTTTTTCGCTGTTTGTGTTTTAACCAAGAGGAAAGGAGAGCATCTAGATATTTATCTCTCAGAAAACAGTAACGTTTGCATTGCAACAGGCAGTGTTTATAGGCTTGGTATACTATATAAATATATTGTTTTTACAAGTACGTTTAATTATGCATTGCATTGAAACACCTTTATAATTAAGTTTGTATATTACATTCATAAATTCTCCACCACAGTAATACATGCATGCTTCCTAAGTACTGTTTATAATTATACTTGCTTTAGTCCTGTCCTGGTTGTCAGATATCTTTATTCTATTCATGACCACTTTTGATAATCTTTGGAAATTACCTCAGCTAACTTTTACACCAGTTGACTGTTCTCATTCTCTTGTATTTTATTTTATTTATTTTTTGTATTAAAATGAAAAGATCACTATGTGACACATAATAACAAGCAGGATGACTGTATAGAAGGTAAATTGATCATCTTTTAGTGTTTCATGGCAGTAGGCAAGCTAAGGAACCACTAAAATTTATAGATTTTTAAAGTGTTTTAGTTAGTACATCCTACTTCAATAACCAAAACTTTCAGCATGGGCTGGACATGTAACTCTGTGTTAGAGCACTTGTTTAGCATGTGCAAGGCCCAGGGTTCAATCCCAGTACTGGAAAAAAAATCAGCTAATGCTATGTGCTACATGCAAAGCAAGGAAATCATAATCACCATTTTGTAAGCCTTTCTGAACACCACACTGCAGCTTCTAACCTGTGTTAACACAATCTTCTACACCCTCTCTTTGTCTTCTCCTTCTTGTTTTCTTGGGTCTTGTCTGTCCACTCAACAGTATCTCCTCCTGCAGAGTCCATTGATGTTCACAGACCAAGCCCAGCAAGATGTCATCATGGTCCTAAAGTTCCCTTCCAATTCTCCTGTCACCCACGTGGCAGCCAACACCCAGCCAGGTTTGGCAACTCCTGCAGTGATCACTGTCACTGCTAACAGACTCTTTGCTGTGAACAAGTGGCATAACCTTCCTGGTGAGTAAGAAATGTCTGAATGTTTAAGCATTAGCCTGAATCAAAATGGCAAATAGTTTGAAAGGCTTAAAGACATCCCACCCGAAATATCTAGTGTCAATGTTAAAACAAATTGTTTTTTAGCATCTGATGGTTTATGTTTATCCTTGGAGATAAATACTGTTTCTAGCACAATATTTTAATATAATGTTACTCTATATTTTGTCCATAAATAGTATATATCTATCAGGTGCCCCCACTTTCCACTTACTCATTTGGATTACACCTGATAAACACTTTAAATTGTCAAGTGTCCACCAGAAACTTTACCCTTTTTTGCTCTTTTGCAGTGCTAGTGATTGAACCCAGGACCTTGTACAAGCTAGGCAAATGCTTTTCCACTAATTATATCCCCACCCGAAAACCTTACCCTTTCGTGCTTGCATGGTACTATTTGTTGCAAAACATATAAATGACACAGCCTAAATACCACACATGTATTAATGCTGTCTTCCTCCACTGAGTACTAATAGCCATGTCGACTGCACTAAGCATTAGAGCCCCAAACCAACCAAGAGTTTATCTAGCATAGCCCACATCTTCATTGAAGACAGGGAGCTTGGGAACCACCTCACTCACCATTACTAGTGCTTGCTCAGTGGCAGAGTTGGAACCCAAGTTTTCTGACTACGCCCCAGTCAATTATTGCCTCTCTTGGAGCAGGAATATTAGGACCTGGACTGCTTTAGACACTGGAGTTTTTTTTAAAAAAACAAATTTATTTATTTTTAATTTAATTTAATTTTACTTTTTGCTATTTTTGAGACAGGGTCTCCTTGGTAGCCCCAGCTGGCCTGGAACTCGCTATGTAGACCAAGCTAGCCTCGAATTCACAGAGATCTACCTGCTTCTGCCTCCCAAATGCTAGGATTAAAGGCATGGCCCAACTTGTATCAGCTAAAGCATCACAAAATTTCCTTGGTTAATGCCACAAAAATGTATTTCTCATTTATTTTTCTGAAATGCAAGTGGTGGTGGGCCTTTGAGGGAAGCTTAATAACTCAAGGAACTTTTAGTCATTTTTGACACAGCATTTACTTATATGAATTTCCTTGGTGTCAGGAGGTAGAGTTGCATTATGTAGCCCTTCCTGCCCAGAAGTCATTATGTGGACCAGGCTGGCCTCAGACTCAAAGAGATTTCCCTGTGTTTGCCACCCAAGTGTTGGGATTAAATGTGTGTGCCACCACGTCCAGTTCTATTCATGTCAAAAAGAATTTTTTTTTCAAATTTTCAACCAGTAGTTCCTGTAGACCAGGCTGGCCTCAAACTCACAGAGATCCACCTGCCTCTGCCTCCCAAGTGCTGGGATTAAAGGTGTGTGCTACCACACCCAGCTAAAAATATTTTTAAGAAGTCAGAAAACCTATTAAAGTCCTAGAGATAATTAGCCTTTCCCTCAAGCCATTGTTACAGGCAGAAATAGTTTAATGTTTTGCTTATCATTAGATCTATAAAATATGTATAAAAGCATCTGAACCTGAAATGATTGCAGAGGTAAAATCTATTGAATAAGGGCCTTATGAAAGAGATTTTGGAGTGAAGCAACAGTCAACAAAACCTGATACTCTGACTAATCTTAAGGAATCTTTTGAAAAGAATCTATAATTGGAGTCAAAATTTATTAAGCAGAGCCATTTTGTGGCTACTGGAAATAAAATCTGTGTAGAAATGCCAGTATTTGATTAGAGAACAGGTTTTTGAAAAAGCAAAGAGAAAAGATTGAGGCAGGTGTTTAATGCCTCTGTTATTTGGTCATCTTACTCCTTTTTCCTAAATGAACTTTTCTCTCAAGGGTGAATGTGTATGCAAATGACATTCTTTTAGGAAGTTTAACTTTTCATTTCTATGACTCTTCATTAGAAGAACATGTTGGTGGTGTGTTCTGTCAAATACACTAGGGGACTGACCAATGTGTGTGATACTAAGACCATCACAAATGATGCTTCTCCAAGGTGACTGGGAGCTCAAGAACATTTTAAACTGAGTGACAGCATCATGGGGACAAACAGACCTTTCCATTGCTAAAGAGCCCAGTCTGTATTCCTTGTCCCTTAACCCTTTAGTTTCTGGAAATTCTACCTTGGCAGGAGCCAAACAGCACCTAGTTGTGAGACTATCCTTAAAGCTTCAGGACAAAGCTCCTGACATTTCCCTTTGAACAAGCCCATGTCTCTAACTAAAAAGCTTTCTTTCCTTACTACTTGGCAGGCAAAGGTCCTCTTCTCCATGTGCAGTTTTTCTACAAGTACATAAAGTAACTTAGGGCATGGTTCTACCTCTAGAGTTCTACTTATGGTACATCCATCTGTTCTTAGGAGCACCTCTGTGAGAGAAGAGCTTGGGGTGTTTTGCAGAATCTTTGCAGGTCATTGTCCTCAGTGAGCCACCATCACCTGTATCATTAGTAGCGTTTATCCCCACCCTTCACATAGATGCTACCTTCATGGTACAACACGGCTCCTCTTCGCAAATACAAAGAATGATGACATTGGAGTTCACTACACGAAGTTATTCTTCTTGAATGTGACTTCCAATTCTGAGCTACATCTATGCCTAAAAATACTAAGTATCCATTCCATTTATCTGTGCCTCATTTCAGATATGTTCACAGGACCCTGAGCTTTTCTCCTATCTCATTGTCTCTGCTTGTCAGTATGTCTTGATTTAAAAGAGAAATATCTATAGCAGTTTTTCCTTGGTAAATGTCAAATTCACATTCCACCAGTTTTTCTTAAATTTTAGATTCTGTTTATTTTTCTGAGGACCTAGGATTTCTGTAGCCTGTTCATTAGACTAGCTCCTGTCCTTTCATCAAGTAATATCTGTATCCTGAGCTATAAAATAAATATTCTTGGTTAGGAGATGTAGCTCAATGATATAGCATATGCAGTGACTTAGGTTAAATCACAAGCACTGCAAAACAAAGCAAGACAAAAATGTTATTCTCCCCTCTCATTCAAAGGACTTTGAAGAGCCTCCCCAAAAATAAAAGAACAGACACTAATGTTCATGAGCATTTTCTAAATACCATTTCGATCATCCTAAGGCACTAACTCAATCTCCTCAACAATTTGAGGAGGTATAGGTTCTATGTTTAGGTTGCACCATATTTGATTGTTCTTTTCATAAACCAGTGGCAGTCAATAGCAAGTCCTTTTCTCCAACAGTTTCGTTTTAACTTTCCTAGATTTCAAAGCAAAGAACGATTCTGATTGACACTGGTATTACAGGAAGTCAGTGACTCCACTGGGTGGACCAGAGGCTAAGTGCATTTCCCTGTCCTTCTCTGTGAACATCTGTGATTTCTTAACCAACAGAACCACTAAACAGCAGGGCACAACAGCTTCAGCTACTTGAGTTTCTTATACATACTCACCTATACTTTTTACTACCAATATTGTCCTTGCTAAGGTTGTATCAATATTAATAAGCTCAGACATCCTTCAAAAGTTGGCATTTACTAAAAGAGAAAGTATACCCTAAAAGTTTTAAAATGATCTAATGAACTCATTGAAATGCACTCTATTTCTATTTTAAACCAGCAAGGTCAGTCAGAAATATTTCCAAATACCTGATGGTACTGAGCAGAGCTCCAGTATCATCCAAGCAGTACTGTAAATACTTGTGCATTTAAAGGCGGATACTGATCAGGGTGAATGGCAGAGTCATTTGAGGAAAAGAATTTGGAAAGGGGCCCACAGAACTATGAAGCCAGAAAAACGACCTATTCCAAACACCTTATCCCAGGGTTTATGATGCAGTGGTTGCATAGACAGCCAGCGGCACTACCCAAAGTCTTTCTACCTTTTCAGAGAAATAGCTTACAAAACCTCTTTTCAATTACAATATAACAGTGCTTGCACCTTTAAAGCCATTTTGAGAATGGAACAAACTATTCTTAGTATGGATTGATTTTTCTAACTCATTTGCTTCTGAAGACTTTTTTTATTGAAACCATAGAAATATTAAATATTAATAAAACTTTTTTAAAACCCTCAGTCCAATCTTTAAGGGGGTATTTCAGCCAAATGCATTTAACTAAAACATTTATCTATGGATAGCTTTATTTTTATTCAAACTTTCAGTTGATTGATTTTAAGTGATGGATGAAACACTAAATATCCCCTGACTTGGAGCTTTCCCTTTCTCCATCATAAATTGACATTTTTGTGGATCCTTTGTGCTGCAGCATTCAAAACTGCCTTTTAAAGAAGTAACAAAAAAATAGTATTTGCTACAGTCAGCAGATGGTTGTCACATTTTGTTTTCAGCACGCTTTACCACTTAATTTTGTTTTGTTGCAGCATCAGAGGCTGCCAGTCAAGCATCTGCTATAGCTTATGGCCTAGGACTGGAGCCACCTCTGATGGCACATGTTCAGAACAGCACTAATCTAAAATAAATGTTTAATAAGCTAGCCATAAAAGCACCTGGATTTTTGTTCTTTAAATTCCACAAAACTGCATGAGAGATTTGGGGTTTGGAAACAGCTCTACATAAGATTTGACTTATGCATTTTTATGTAGTTAAGTATATGAAAAATAATGCTTTTTTAAAATCTTTTGTGAATTCCAGCTCATCAAGGTGCTGTACAAGACCAGCCATACCAGCTGCCAGTGGAAATCGATCCTCTCATAGGTCTGTCACTTCCTTCTCTCTTTGCGATTCATTAAGCTCTGTATGGTGGCCCTGAAGTGTAGATTACAGTTGTTTTTCACTTGCTGGTTGCTGGGAATGGAATTTTCCTGATAAACCATTTGCATGCAAATTGGAATGCAATGAGCTGTGGCTATGCTGGTATTTCATCAACTCCCCCTCGTTGGTTTGCCTAATTTGAACAGGCCTAGGACGCATGTCACTGAAAATTAATATGGATGCTGTAATAATGTGTGATTGAGAATGCGCATGAAGTACTGTCAGGGTAATATTGGATCTTTTCATCACTCAGACTTGTTGATGAGCAGGAGCGAGGCACGTTATGATGAATTGGTGCACACATAATGTGATGGAGCTCCTTTGCTGGAGAAATTTTCATAATAACAGTGGGGTTCTTAGCAGCACTGTGTTGTGAAAAATAAAACTGTAATGCCAAGATTTCATCATTAAAAGAAATCAATCCTTTCTTCTTGGACCCTCTGTTCAGTTGGAGGGGATTAATGTGCAATTGCAAAGCAGTTTCAAAGTTAAAATATATTGCCCAACCAATGGTAGTGTTAAGATATTTGTATTCATTTTTGTAGGGTCCTACAGCCAATAAATTGCCATTGGAGGTTAAATTTGTTCAGAGGAAAGAAAAAAATAGACGAGGGCTGCAAGGAGAGTCTGTAGCCAATGGCTTCTTAACTGCTGTTATGTTTTTTGAGTCAGTTAGCTGATATCTCTACTTAGCATTTTTCATTCTTATGCATTGGGATTTCAAATGTGGTATCACTAAAAATGTTAAGCCTTGATAACTTTTAATATTAAAAAAACCCTTAATTGCCTTCCTTTGAGGGTGGGCAAACATGAGTATTTGACCTATAGTTTTGGCAAATTTACCCTGAACAAATAAATTTATTAGAATTTTACCATTTTACCAAAGCCTATGAATGAGCAGATTTATTACTTGAAAAATCTGTGATTTACCCTATTTATATATTATTCTTTTTAAAAAGCCTTTGTCTCAGTAGAATGCTAAATGGCTACCATTTATTTATCATCTCCCTAATAAATACTGATCTCAATTTCATTTTGCTTTCGCTAGATACTATATGCTACATATTAAAAATAAAAACAAAACTAAATGCTTACTTATATAATTTTAAAATCAGGAAAATGAAGCCCATTTGCTAAGGCATATAAAACATTCTTTATGAATTAGGGGTTCACTGTTTGCTTTAAACATGGCAATGCATATTCTGTAGTATAATTAGTGAATTCAGCCAAGTGTGGGCAAGTTTCTTGGTAAAGGGCCAAATATTAAATATTTTAAGCTTTACGAGTCATAAGGTTTTAGACACAACTATTTAACTCTTTCAAAATAGCACAAAATCACCGTAACTGATATATGAACAAAGAATATGACTGTTTTTCAATAGAAGTTTTTATTTAAAGTCAGTGCAGGTCAGATTCAGCCATAGTTTACCAGCAGGGTTTCCAAATCTCTGGCCATCAAACTGTCCCTCCACTCACTACAGTAATAGTTTAAAAACAATGTCATTTCTGATAAATCGTTTTTATTGGTTTGTTTGTTGAGAAACAGGGTCTTATGTAGCCCAGGCTGGCCTCAAACTAGATGTCTGAGCAAGGATGACTTTTGAACTTCTGATCCTTCTGCCTCGACCTCATAAATTCTGAGATTACAGGCATGTGTACCACCATACCCAGTTTATGCAGATGAAACCCAGGGCTTTGTACATGCTAGGCAAGCACTCTACCAACTGAACTACATCCCAGCCCCCTTCTCATAATCTTAACATTGACATGTAAAAGTTCTTACCATAAGTTCAAATAGGTACAGTTTCTGACATAGTAGAAAACATTTTTAATATGCCCACTAGAATCTCAATATCAAAATGAATTGATACTGCACATTTTTTTTTTAATTTCAAGAAGCTTTTCTTTACAAAATGGGTCACAACACTAAGCTTTTGGCCATTCTGCTATTGTACAAGATACAAATGCTTCCTCAGTAGCTGAGGGGCACACTTTAGTATCATATCTGAAAAGTGAATAAAAATCGATATAAAACATTGTTTCCAGGGCCAGGCGTGGTGGCGCATGCCTTTAATCCCAGCACTTGGGAGGCAGAGGCAGGCGGATCTCTGTGAGTTCAAGGCCAGCCTGGTCTACATAGTGAGTTCCAGGACAGCTGGGGCTACAGGGAGACCCTGTCCCAAAAAAACCAAAAAAAAAAAAAAAAAACCACAAAACCATTGTTTCCATGGGAACAGTAAGTGTGATCCCATCTCCTAGTCTTCCATATGGCTGCATCTATGGTAGCCCTATTCTTACAAAAACATTTCAAAACTATCAATAATTAAATTAACTGGTTCCCCCAAGATCCCTTAATTCAACCTAAACTTGTAGGTAACAGCCACAAGAATGGCATGTGCAGCTGGGCGTGATGACACATCTTTAGTCCCAGCACTCTGAAGGCAGAGGCAGGCAGATCTCTATGAGTTCAAGGCCAGTTTGGTCTACATATCGAGTTCCAGGCCAGCTGGGGCTACAGGGAGACCGTCCCAATAAAACCTTAAAAAAAAAAAAAATGGCATGTGCACGTTGATACCAGGGGAGTCCATCCTGCTGTCCTGAGCACAAGACATGGGCAGAGTGCTGACATCCTGTTCCTCCACTTCCAGCAGGAAGCCATGAATCCAGATTTGTTTCATGAGTTGCACATCAGTCCTGACATCACATATACAATCCATATAAAATTCTCAGTAGCTGGAAAGTTTGCCTTACTCCATTCTTACCTTGAATTTTATATTTTGAATCTATTTTCTCTGTAGAATTTTATCTTCACTTTAAAATTGATTACCTTATTACACCTTTCAGCAATAAAAATATGTATGGAAAGTTAGACATATGTCTATAAACTTAAACTTCAATTTTTCTACGACCATAAGATTCAGCTTTTTAAAATTAATTACGTTGAGTAACCAGTACAATTTTTCTTTGTTTTCTTTGTTGTTGTTTTGTTTCTTTTTCTTTTTCTTTTTCTTTTTCTTTTTCTTTTTCTTTTTTTTTTTGTGACAGTCTCATTCTATAGTTCAGACCAGCCTGAAACTCACTGTGTAGCCCAAACTGGCCTTGAACTCAGAATCTTCTTGCTTCAGCCTTCTGATCATAGGTGTGTGCCATGTGTGCCTGCTGTCTTATGGATAATTATACTTAAAACAGTTACATTTTTAGTGAGGTATGGAGATCAAACTATGGGCCTAAAAAGTGTTCACAGACTCTGCCACTGACCCCATAATAAAATTTAATAAACATTTATGAAATACAAAAGCAGACACTTATTGGAAATAAGTGACCAGTGATCTAACTGGAGTACTTTCCTCTCTAGTAGCTTATGCGTCGAGCATATTTAATGCTGAGTGAAGTAAGATTTGTTCAACAAGTCTATTCCTATTATTTTGTTTTTATAGCTCTGAGGAATGTTGCAATGTTATTTTAATAATGTCATACAAGACTTTAAACTCATTCTAGCTAGTATGTGGCAAAATTCATGTAGTAACCTATTAATAATTATTTTATAGTTTGATAATTATCTTTTACTTTAAAAATGTCATTGAAACCTATTTTCAGTGATCTATTAATTGACAGTATGATTTGATCCTCATTCTGGTTTATTGAAAGCCACCTGACTTACAGAATGATGATAACTTAGGCACTCACTTTTTAGTATCATCAGTTTTTTGAATTGTTCTGTATTTGGCTCCCAAGAGATTTTAATCCCCTGGAGTAAGATTAGGCATGGAAGGGAATATGGCATTGTTTCATCTAATGTTAGAAGGGTAAGCAAAAAAAGAGACAAGAAAAGAAAACTCACAGGAGAATTCTCAGACAAATCAGTTTCAGACAAGAGAATATATGAAAGTTGAGGAACTAGAAATTGATTCCCTTAAAACCATCTGGGCCTCAGGAAGTCTTATACCCAAGGGTAGGCATGTCCCAGTTTGAATGCTGCTTATCTAATCAGATATACCTAATTTTCACTGAATAAAAAAATACTGTAAGCTTAAACCTCTAAGTTTGCTAGAAAAAAACACTAAGATAATGTAAAGACTGTTGTAAAATAGGTAGGATAAACCAACACATGAACAGCTGGATGGATGAAGAATGGATGGATGGATGAGAGACTTTTCAATGTTAAATTTCAAGTATTTGCTTAGAAAGTAGTTGATCTGATGAGTGTGGTGGTACACACCTATAATCTCAGCACTCAAGGCTATCCTGGGGTACCTAGAAAATTTAAGGGTAACCTAGGCTAAGGAGTGAGCCCTTATCTCCAAAAACCAAAACAAACAAAAATAGTTTATCTGTATGCTGATGGGTATCAGCCTTTACTCCTGAGTAATCTGTGGTGCCTCAATTATGTATATGCTCATTCTTCCCCAGAATTAGTGAAAATTTATAGCATAGTCACTTAGAGGAATAGACATTTTTTAAAGGTTCTGTGCATAATGAAGTGTGGTTTTAACCAGGGAAATAAGTGCCACATACATTGTTTTTCACTAATACTTTGAAATATATCTTCATCACAGATACAGTTTCGCTCTCTGATTCACTATCATATCCATAAAACCTTTTTCTTGTCTGCTAGCAACTTCCTTTTCTGTGAGAGGGAAAACTGATCCCCAAGTGGAATTCTGCCCATGTTACCATTGCTGTTACTTCCTAGTCCATTAACCCCACCCCCAAAAGGCACATTATCAGTTACCTGCTGATTTTAAACGAGTACGTTGTATTAACAGGTACAAGCAGGACTCTGTAGGATTTGACATGTATACATGCATGTCCTCATGTTCACTGTGGTGCATATTTTATGTTGGGGGTTATTTCAGTCCTCAGTGGTTTACAGCACAGCACCAGAAAGCATTTTGAGTGCTTTTTTGTTTGCTTGTTTTATGTTGGGGGTCTTATATTAAACCCTCACATTATTTAGATATACAATAAATATAAAATACATGGGACTGGAGAGATGGCTCAGCAGTTAGGAGCACTGCCTGCTCTTGCAGAGGACCCAGGTTCGATTCCCAGCACCCACATGGTGGCTAACACAGACTGTAACTCCAGTTCCAGGGAATCCAGCACACTCTTTTTTTTTTTATCTTTTTGAGACATGGTCTCCCTGTAGCCCCAGCTGGCCTGGAACCGCTGGGTAGTTGAGGCTGGCCTCAAACTCACAGAGATCTGCCTGCCTCTGCTTCCCTAGTGCTGGGATTAAAGGTGTGCACTAGCACGCCCAGCCCTGACACCCTTTTCTGACCTCTATGGGCATTACATGTATGTGTGCACTTAGATACATGCAGGCAAAACATTCATACATAAAAATAAATAAAATATTAAAAAATACATATCTGCTTTAATTTTTATCAGTAATGTATAGTTTGTTCCATCAAAACATTGTAAACTGGTATAAATAATTTAATAATTAGATGCAGAAATTTTCTTTGTACTATTCTTGTTTCTGGGGCAATCAAGTTTCTTGCAATGTTTCTTGAACCGTTATTTGCAGTGGAAAGACACTAAAAACAAAGCTTTCTGGCCTTATAATACCAAAAAAGACATCTCAATGAAACTCATCTGATAGTGGCAGACTCTTCCCAAGTGCTTCGTGTCACTCTGTGCCTGGCCTGTGCCTGGTGACAAACCCCATTTCAGGTACTCCTAGCACTTGGAGCACACTGCCACACTGTCTTGTTTTATTGCTTAAATAAGGAGTAAGAAAGTGGCAGTTTGCCGTGCTTTGACGTTTTCAGTTATAAGTACCTTGACTAGGCTTTCTTGCATTTGCTTACATGTAAGTAGAGCTGTACACAAGGGAAATGGGAGTTCCCATCTAGTCAAATTAAAGACCTGGAAAAGCCAAAGTAGTACAAGATGCTACAATATTTCAAATATATGACATTTAAATCCTAGTATCTCTTCCTTGTGACAAAATGTTAAAGGTAATAGATTGTCACAACATGAATCCATTCTCATGACAATAGACATAATGAGATTGTCAGAAACAAACTGAACTATGATAAGATCTAGAGGCTGTAATCTACTTTGGTCCTGCCCAAGAGCTAGAAAGCATTTTCTATGAATTGTATGCTATTTTAAAATTGTACGCTGTTATTTCTTCCCTCTAAGCAAAACATTTTTCCAGAGATGCTGAATATAGCCACCTACGTTCTTCTGGCAATTGTATATATTTGCCCATGTGGTTTTTCAAATATTTTACTTAAAGGTCAGTTATTCTTTCTTCGTCTTTGTTCTCACAGCCAGCAGCACGGGGATGCACAGGAGGCAGATAACTGACCTTCTGGACCAGAGCATCCAAGTTCATTCTCAATGCTTTGTCATCACCTCTGACAACCGCTATATTCTCGTCTGTGGCTTCTGGGATAAGAGTTTCCGAGTCTACTCCACAGACACAGGTAATTTTTATTTTCTTCATCAGTGAACCAAAATGTATCACTTAATAGCATTGAGTAGCTAAGAATACCTTCTCATCTTCTTCCTTCCAAAACAACAGGATTCTGAAATTTATAGAATAAATAGTCTATTAGATGGTCTATGATTAAGTTAGCTTTGGCATGTTTTTAAGAGGCAGTTTTTTAATGGCTGTTTTGTTTCCCCAAGTACAGAATAAATGATTCACTTTGAAGGCGAAACCACGTATGTAAATATCAAGCACATATGTGTAATTATATGGTAAATGTTCAAACCTAGAACTATACTTCCTTTTTCATATTATTTAAATTTTTCTCTTCCTTACTGGAAAGATTCATTAAGTATATCTTTTGGGAACAGATATCTTGTCTCCCCCCAGTTCTGCACAGAATCTTGCTGAAAACTACACCATCTTGAAGAAAAGTAACTGACTGCTGATTTCCTGTGTGACAGGTGCTCTTGTTAACATATAAAAGTTTACACGTGTTTATGTGTTTATATGTACCTCCCTAAGGGAAAGGCAGGTCAACTCAGTATTGTCACAGCAGATATAATCCAAAGCAAGTTTGTACATCTTTTTCACATCAAAAATTCAAACCCTTGAGAAATTTAATGGAGTCTCTTTAAAGTATTTTAGAAGCTGTCAAAAGAGAAAAATTTATTGATAATATTTCAACTGAAATAAAGATGTGTCTGTATTGTGATTAAGCACTGTGGGAATGGGAAATTTTGTTTAATTGAACTTGCTAACTAAATGCTTTGCAACAAATAATCTTTCAGACTTGATAATCATAAAATGCGTGAGTCCTTACTCTTGTCTTAACAAGTATGGTACACTGAACATCCTTGATTCTTCAAGGAGTTTGCCTTTAAAATTTCTTTTTTGATACTAGTCTAACATTACCAACAGAGTAGGGGAAAACTGTTCTCTCCAGTTGGATTATTTACAGAATAAGCCCTAAAAAATGTTTTTATAAATTATTATTTATTTTTTTGCTTTAGGAAATTGAATTCCATTTTCTAATAACTTACCACATTATTATATAGGTTCTGAAAGAAAACATCATCACTCAAACCATTCTGAGTAATTGGGCTTTTTCTAGATATTTCAATCTGTAAGGTGGATTATTTTGAACCTAAAATTCCACTGATTTCATGTAAAACTGCAGTGGGATTGATGTTTTCTTAAAATGTATTTATTACACTGAATTTTCTGCTTTGATAACAAATTCAAATCTATTCTTTTCGTTATTATGACAGTAAGAGCCTTAGTATGATTTGATATGTCCTGTTTCTTCACAGATTTCTAGATTAACCCTGATATATCCTCTTAGAAGATTTTCTTAAGTATTCTTTTAGATTGCTTATTTTTGTTCATACATTTTTTATTTATTATTTTTATTTTCTGTTTATGAGTGCATTGCCTGCATGTATGTCAGTGCACCTATGTAATGCAATGCCCGTGGAGGTCAGAAGAGGGTGTCAGAGCCTCTGGAACTGGAGCCTACAGATGGTTGTTAGCTACCATGTAGGTGCTGGGAACCAAACCCAGTCCTCCCCAAAAGGAGTCAGTGTTCTTAACAACTGAGCTATCTCTCCAGCCCCAACAAGGTCTCACTGTGTAGCCCTAGCTGGCCTGAAACTCACTATGGCAGACCAGGCTGGTCTTGAACTCAAAAATCCCATTGCCTCTGCCTCCCAAGTGCTGGGATTAAAGGTGTATGCCACCACACCTGGCTTACAGTTCTGTTCGTTTTGACAATCCATATAATTAAATTACTGTGTCACAATCTCTCAAGGAGCAGAACAGCTCCATGGCCCCAGATTCCCTCATGGCTCCTGTTGGATGTCACCTTCTTCCCAGACCCCCAAGCCCTGGCATCCAGTACTTCACATTTCTAGGATTGGCCTTTTCCACAGGTCATATAAGTGGAATCATAAATTGTATCAGCATCTGATTTTGACATGTGGAAGCTTTTGGATTTGTTGATATATCCTTGTTTTTCTTTTAAAAGCATTAAATACTAAATGTTTGTAAAGTAAAGCTAGCTTTATCTTCATGCAATACTACTAATTCCTGTATTCAATCAGGAATTCAGGCTTGTTTCTTTTTTAAAACTTAGAAAATTCTTTGGCATACATATTATTTCAGCCTCACAAACATCCTGTGAGGTATACAGGCATCCTTATCCCATCTTCTTAGATGATAAATTGAAATGTAGAAAGTTCAGTAACTTACTGAAATGTAAGTGGTCAGTGGCGACAGACCTGGAACTTGGTCCTGGCCCTGACTTCACATGCAGCATTCTCTGTTGGGCTGTGCAGCTCACACAGGTGCCACCAATCCTTGGTTAATTTTGAAACCACTGTAATTTGTTACCCTCAGTTCCTCGTGGGCCTGCCATGTTACATTAGACTTAACAAAGTTGATGCCATTTCTTTCTTTCCCTCCAGAAAGCTTGCAGTACCCTGTTTTTAAAAAACATGTCTCAGCTTGTAAAATGTTTCGTAAGAAGTAGCATTATATTAAACTTCATTTCCGTGGGACTGACCTAACTTAGAAAAAAATTTATGTTTTCTAGAAATGTGAAGAAAAAAACCCCAAGAAACCTCAAGTGATAGTAGCTTTCTTAATGTCTTGTGTATACAGCTGCTAGTTTAATTTAAAAGTAATTTCAGTGACTGTAACTATGTGTTTGTGTTTTTAATGACAATAGAGAATAGCCACTAATTTTTTCCCCTAAGTTTGGTGGAGAAACAAGGGAAAAATTGTATGGCCAGTAATATATAATGCCAAAGCTATCACAATTGTTGAGTTCAATTAGATTTTAGCACGCAAAAAAAAATTCCTTCTCTTATTAGATTCGGGGGGGACTTGGGAGACTTGGGTTGTAACAGGAAATTCTTGAAACATAAATCATGTTTTCGAGGCAGAACCAGAACAGCAGAGGCAACAATAAACCTTCCCCGGCAGTCGGAATTATTTTCAGGCCACATTTTAGATTCAGTGGTACAGAGTTCCAAGCTGGAATTTTTTTTATTTGTAGCACAGCTGTCAAATAAAACATTAACTAGAAAATTTGTTCTGTCAAAAAAGGGATATTCTAGTGGTTGTGGTAGTATTTGATATTAGTGTGTGGAGAGGTAGGCTGGTATTAAAGGAGACAAAAAATAAAGGTTATGAGATTATCAGGAAATAATTTACCGAAAAGAGCAGCAGGTATTTATATACTATGATTTATTTAGGAGAAGCGAACCTCAACCTCATAGCAATAGCAGAGACTGCCAAGTTAGGCTGCCAGAACAGGGAAAAGAAAACCTAAAAAAGATTAATGTATTCCGGGATTGAGCCCAGTATAAACTGTAGAGAATAAGGCTATGCTAGATTAAAATACGAAACTCCTTTGGTGTAACTGTTTAGGTCTTCCCTGGTGCCCATTCTGAGTTTGTTACACCTAATTATTTTCACTGATTTTGGATTGTTTTCTTAGAATACTAAGCACTATTTATCATTATGTATCTGTTTGCATTATTTGTTCAATATTCGTCTGCCCCATTAGACTATAAACACTCTAAGGGCAGAGACCATGTCTGTTCACTACTGTATACATTTTAAAAAGCCTAATGCTTGGCACCGAGTAGATGCTAGATAAATATTTGTTGAATCTTTATAATTTTGGCCAATTGAGGTAAAAAGTAAAACAGTAGGAATTAAAAAAAAGAGAGAACGAGAGAGAAAAGAAAGAAAGAAACTACAGCAACTGAGCATTTATATTCTTCACACTGACCCTGGAGAAACAGAGCAAAGGAGACTTAACAGGAACCTTGGCAAATTCTCCCTCATAATGAATGCGCCCTGCTTTCACAGTTAAATTTTTCTACCTGGTCCCCACAGGAGTTGGAAATTAAGTAAATTCCCCAGTGAACAGCTGTTCTTGGTGAGACACTAGTTTCCAGGGCCCCAGGAACACCTGGGTCTCCTTGGTACCTTCACTCCTGAAACCCCACTGAGTTGCTGGTCTCCAAAATGGAGACAAGCCTATTCCTGAAGGCAGTATTCAAATCACTTCCAAAGTTTCAGTGCTCCCACATTTAGGGATAGGCTAAAGCAGAAGTCACTGTTGATACTCTGTGACCAAAGCATAATCTCAACATGGTTTACTGAGTTTCCTTCAGTAGTTAGAACTCCCTGATTAACACGCAGTTCTTTAATCATCAGTGAGAGCCGAGTCAGCAGCCTAGCTTTTGGGTTCCCCGCCCCTCCAGGCCTGTTGTAATCTAACCCATTTACTAGTAAACTTTTTCACTAGAAAATGAAGTAAAAATTTTTACACTTTTCATATTTAATTTGGTCTTTTGACTTTTTTATTCTAAAAATCTTGAATTCTTCACATATACTTCATTGATACAATCTGATTTTGTGAAATATTTTAGTGTCAATTTAGAATGAAAAAATCCAGAGGACACTTGGCACATTTAACAATTAAAATACCTGTTTTAACTGATGCCCGCTCTCCTTTAATCACATCTGGAAAAATATACTTTAATAACTTGGCAATTTGTAGTTTAAAAAAGTATGATTTTAAACTTGCTAATGGTAGGCTCTGCAGGACTACCACTCATGAGTAGAGTCATGTATTTGACTTTTCACCTAAGAAAAAATGTGTTTCAGTATTTTATTTCTAAATTTGAAGGCTTTATAAAAATCTCCAGTTTATTGCAATAAAAAAAAGAATTTAGATTTTTAAATGAATACTTTCATAGGTATTATTATCTTGAAAAGTTAAATACACTTCAGTGCCAGCTCTTGATTGAGACCTTAGGCTTTTGAGTATATTTTTCAGACGCTTTTTAGGCATATTAATTTTTTTCAGTCTCTTTAACATTTGAAGTCTATCTTTGTCCTTCTATTGACACAGCTACTTCTTTTTAAAGCCATGCTAAATAATAAGGGTAGAGATTCTGTAATATTCATTTGTACATTTTGTAGACTTTTCAAAGGAAAATGTCAGCAATAAACTAGGATGGCATGGAGGGGCTGCTGCTACAGGCATTTAATTCTTTTAGACAATTCTATGTGAATTATACCACAATCTCAGATTAAACAAAGATTTTACAAATCAAGGGCTTTTTTGTTTCTGATTCTGTTGTATGGCTCCCTTTCCTGGGTCTGAAGCTCTGGCTATATAGTAAATAACTAGATTCCTCTCTGCTGTCCTTGGTCATCACCATTAAACCACTGGAATCTTGATTTCATCATCACCCCCAGAGGAATTTTCATCATTCAGACAATTAAAACAAAAAAAGAATGACTTGACTCAAATTGTAATCCCAGTAAATTGATCCTTTCACCAGAAGTTAGTCCATGTAATCCTGGTTTGAAAAGTAGGAACTGTCTCCAAAGTGACCTTAAAAAAAAGAAGAAATACATTTAGTCTTCATTAATTCAGAGAAGGAGTTATATTAGTGAAATCTGAGTTCCGGAGTATTCTCACCAGAAGGCAATGGTTTTGTTGTTTTGAGTCATATAATAACTCAAGAAAGTGTTAAAATGGTTCCAGTATGAGGGTTCTCCTGGGCCTGTTTTAACCAATAATATTATTCTTTTGTAATTATTGTAGCCACTTATAAAGATATGGTGTCTTGGTCCTCAAATATTGTTTGTTGAAATAGTTTTAACATATGCCTTTCAAAAATGTTATCACTATATTCAACTGATTTTTTTTTACTGTTGTTAGTAATATATATGAAGTCAGATTCTCATAAAATCTGAATTATCGGGATCTGAATAACATAGCATTGTTGTCTTACAAAGTATATATTTAATAGAAGCTTGCTTTATCTTTAATAGCAGCTTAAAAGAAAATTCTTCTGTATTTCAGGAAAATTGATCCAAGTGGTGTTTGGCCATTGGGATGTTGTCACTTGCCTCACTCGCTCCGAGTCATATATTGGGGGAAATTGCTATGTTCTCTCTGGGTCACGTGATGCCACCCTTCTACTGTGGTACTGGAATGGAAAAAGCAGTGGGATTGGAGATAACCCAGGCAGTAAGTACGGCTCATTTTTTTAATGAATTTTTATAAGTGATGTAGAAGAATATTTTGAGGGAAGGACAGAACTATGGTAAGAATGAAACTGAATTACCAAGTAGTTTTAATGTCTTGATAATTTAAGATTGACTTAGATGGCTTGATTACTAAAACATTCATCATCACTGATAATTAACAGCCACATGTAAAATCTCAGTTTTCGTGGTATAGGTTATTCTCATTCAGAAATGCTAGTTCTTCATTGCAAATGGCTGTCGCCACCTAAAGTAGAGGTGTTTCACTCATGAACACCACCATAACACCAAAGAGAAATAACATATCACCGTTTGTAGAATTCATGTTTTTAAAAGAGCAAAAGAAAAATTATAATTTCATGGAAATCTACATCCTTATAAAATTATGCTTTCATTTACATATTAAAAGATAAAACAGGTCATAAAAGGCCAATACAGAATATTCAAATTGGCTCTTGGTTTTTCAGATGGGAAATAAAATGTTCACCAGCAGCCCTTAACATCTTTATGAAGCCCTGCTGAAGGCAGTAAAACAAAACCAAAAAAAAATGTGTGACCATTTAAAATTGTAATTCACAGACAGCAAAAGGGAAGCGACACCATTAAAACAATCAGTCGCACACAGCTGCAGTAAAGAGATGGCTTTAAGAAAAAACACATTAAAAAGTGGGAAAAAACAAGGGATCACCTGGAAAACAAGAATTTAATTAAAATGATTACAGCAACAGTGAGGGGTCCTATAAGAGTGGCTTTAGATTTTTACCTCTCAAGGTAGAGCTTTTTAACTGCTCTTAAATATTTACAGTTTCTTAATTTGAAGCAAGTCGCAATGTATTTGGTTAAGGAAGTATCATGCTGTTACCTGGATACTGTGCTGCACTGTGTTTGTGGCCTAGCCCCAAACTGCAAAGCAGCATGAATATATTTCAGCCCTTCATATTCTGGATTGACTCCTATCAAGTTATGGATACTATTTGTATGAGTGAGAACTTTGTTCAAAAAATTTTAGTAAGATGCTAGTATAATTTTAAAAGAACTAGGTATGAAATATTTTTCAAAACTTTTCTTATTAGATACATTATAGACTGTATTAGATCATAAACACAAGTTTTATTCAGTTGATGTCAAATGGACATATTTCTGTCTCTTACAGAAATAATCTATGTGACTAGAATAGGGAAAATAATTGTAAGATTCTGATATTGTGGGTAATCCAGTGTCATTTCTCTGATCAAGTTGTAGTGTGTGGATGCTGTGGAAGACTAGGTTTCTTCTCATACTTAACACAGGGCCCTCTGTTTGATATAGAATAACATAAGCTTTTAAAGATTAAAACTTCAGACATTTTGTTTTTCATGCTCTATAAAATGTACTACAAGTTCTTTTTATTGTGGGTACTGGCATTCTGACTCCTCTTCCTTTGTGGCCTCCTAGGTTGAGTGACTACTTTCAATTTCTTTTTTCCTGTTGCTTTAAATATAAGATTAAATAAATTATCTCAGGCAAACCTACATTTGACATAGATAATGCATAAATCTACCACTTTGTTATTTATCTCAAAGTATATAGGAAAACCTTTTTCATGTTTTATGCATGTGTATACCAATTCACATTGCTGTATCACACAGATATTTGAGTCTTTGTGTTTTTACCAGACTTAATTGCGTTCAGTATTATGCAGTTATTACCAGTTTGAATTCTGAGAAATAGCTACGTGGAATTGCTGTAGCATTTCAGAGACTTACGTGTGTTTAAAATTAGAAAACAAGGTTTTCCAGGGTATTTTACATCTATGTGTCTATATTAAAAGATATATGCATGTATTTAAATGTATGTTATATATTTAAGTACTTTATAAATTGCCCTAGAGATGGTTTTTATATGCATATCATTTAAACAATGATTCAAGGAATGATCAAATCCTGGGATTTGTAGTAAAAGAAAAATCTAAGTTCCTAGCTTTGCTGTGGTCCTTCTTGCTTGTCTATAAAATAAAAACAACAGCAGTAACTGCCTTCAGGTGTTATCAGAAGCACAAGATGCTCGGAGCAAATAAATCACACAAACACCATCTTGGGTAAGTATTAAAATGCTACAGTTTCATAAGAAGCCTCCATCTGTGCTCCGTGTCTGTACGGTGGTGGACGTTAACACCCAGTAGTGCTAGGACCGAAGAGAAAAAAATCAGAACATAGCCCATCTAATACAAATTTCAGAAAATTGTAATGTATTTTGACTAAATTATATTACCTTTCTCAAACTGAACCTTGTTCTTTCTGACCCTTTTGTAATATCCGATGTTCCAATTTGATTTTCCTTGAGTTTTGAAGGATGAATCTGGGAGAAAGACAAATAGGTACTTTTTCATATTATGAGAGTTTATACACATTAGAAGAGAAAAATGAAAAAGCCAGTTTAAGCTTTTCAGAAGGAAATAGCAAAACCAGACATTTTACTGTGTGTAAACTGGTTTAAACATTCCTGCAAGCTGGTTCAATTTTCTGAACCTCTGGCTCATTGATGGTTGTACAAAGCAGCTGCTGAAGCCAGAGCCCCTCAGAGGAGGATTTCAGGCACAGGTACAGGCATTCCTGAATTGTGTCTCGTAGATGCCACAAAGATGCCCTTTAAGAAGTGGCCCAGCATTTTCATACATCTACTTGCCGCAGTATGGCCTATAAGCAAGCATTAATACTTCAACCTCAGATTTTTTATTTAAGACTTTCTTTCTTGAAAGGAAGAAAAGTAAGTAGAAGAAAACCCAACCAATTGCTTTTTTCTGCATTTTAAAGGCCTTATTCAGCTTATTTTATTTTTTTATTTAAAAATCATGGGAATACTAATTTTGCTTGCAAGGGTCATATACTATTTTCTTCAAATCTGATATTGCTGCTTTTTTATAATGTTGATAGCTATGTAACTATTTTTAACATCATTTTATCCAGTATTAGTATGTATATTTGTTAGATAAAAAAAAAATCAAGCTAACTCAGCTTGGATGAAACCTATAAATAGTATAATTTGGGTCTTTAAAAATGACTCATGTTTGAAGAAACTCATCTAGATTACGCAGGAAAGGCTTACTTTCCTGTAGCCCGTTTCTCATCTCTGGCTCTGTTGTCTTGCAGTGGTTATCTGCTGTGGAATGCAGTTTTCCCAGTGAGAAGAAAGCTGAAGATAGGATTGCATTTGGTTGTGGATGGTTTTGTAATATTAACCAAGAGGATTTCAATGAAAGATGCTTTCTACAGGATGCTCAGCCCCTCTCTTACCCTCAGCCTTGTATTTTAGGACAAAATCTTGTCGAGCAAAAGGCTTTCCCTTGAGTTACTTGTTTTTCCTTCAGAATAATGCTGTCCAGACAGCCCATTTCCAGTTTTTGAAGAAAATGTGCTGTCTCGTTGCACTGAATTGGTCTTTAAACACTTCTAACTTGGACATGATAGCATTTAGATAAACAAGGTGGAAATATACAACTTTGTTATATTTATTCATTATTCTATATTAATAAATCACAAACTTGAATTTTAAGAACTGCTTATGAGGCAGTTCGTTTTTTAATTTTTAAGTAATTTTTTAAAGTACAGTTGATTAGCTTTTGGAGCAAATGGTTGCCGAGCATGAGGGCATCACATAGATTTGTGTGTGCAGTATTTCAGTAAAGTACTTTTCCATTCTTGGGTTTCTGGTTTTGATTTGATGGAAAGGTGGCATTTTTTTCCCTCTTGCAATCAGACATGCTAATCTATATCAGCTTTCTCCTTGTGGCAATGGCGTCTACTGAAAAAATAAGACTTTTTTTCATAACAAGATTCTGTTCTTTAAGACTGTTTCAGCACCGTTAATTAGAAAGAAGGTTTTATTAACCATAAGGCTAGCACTAACAGACCGCAGAGCTGTTTGGAAAGTACTGTATGCCGTAGCTGCCCTGCTTTTTCTCTGCCTAAAACTTCATTTTGTTGTACTCTCATCAATCACCTAAGTCATTACCGTAAATCCTCCTGTTGTTAATTTTTACTAGTATCACCCTAATGAGACACTCCTGCTATAATTAAAAATGAATTCTAACTTTAAGGCATTCTAAATTTTTTTTTAATGAATTTAGAATGATCTTGCCATATGACTATAAATACCACTGATGCACACACAGACGACTCATCTAGTCTGAAAGAGAAGTCCTATCATAACGTGTCCAGGTGCAAGTTATTTACCGGCTACCTCTTCCACATGTGGTTATGCATATGTATATTTTTGTGCACATATTTGGGAATTATGTCCTTTTTATCATAAAGCCTAATATGTTTTGGTAAAGCTACTGATAAATCTTTATTCTTTGTCTTAGCAAAATAATACGTGGCTGTAGTGCAGGGTTCCTCTCTGTAAGTAGGTGGCCTAGAGCGCCATCTGCTGGATGCATTTGGGGACGTAACACTGGCTAATGGGAAAGGTGGCGCTTAGTAACGCAGGTGTACTTTGTTTCTAATTGCCCATGATATATTACTTATGGGTCACAGTGTCAGAGTTTATACAATGTGTTGAGCCATATGAGTTTTTAAACAGAAATCATTTTATCCTTTTGTTTCCACCCTAACCTGGACTTGGGACTTTACAATAAATGTTTTAAGGAAAAAGAGAGCACAATTTATGCCTAATGAAACAAAGCACTTCGCACTACAGTTTGTCCTGAGATTAGCTCCTGTCATTGATCACAGGTCTTCAGTGAGCTACAGTTTGGGGGAAAATTGTTTGGGTCGCATTGTAAGCTTAGGCTCTTCATATTCACTTCAGTGCGAAAGCAGTGCTTGAAACAGGTGGGCTTTTTATGGCAGGGATTGGGTCAGATTGTTTTCCTGTCTGGGACATTACTTCTCACGTGTACCTCATCCATAGCCAGGCCCACTGTGCTGACTACCATATATTTCTCTCTCTTTTTTTTTTCTTGAAGAATTCATGAAGTAGGGGTTTGAAGTCGTATGCTGGCAG